CCCCAAAACCCCAAAACCCCAAAACCCCAAAACCCCATCTTTTAAGATAATTGATCATAGGTAATTTTATTAATGTTAATATAATAATTTTAATGAACTAACATTTAGGAAATCAATGTAATATTAAAGTAGCAGTAAGAGTAAGACCACTTATTTGATCAGAGGTCGAAAATAGTCACAAGTCTACAAAATTAATCGTAGATGAAGATGAAAACTGCATCATGTAATTAATTCTGAATTATTAAAGGTAATTAGGATTAAGCAGGGGGTTTTACATGGTAATTTCTCAAGTGGAAATATAAAACCGATGGCTAAAACTTACTTTTTTGATAAGATTTTCGGCTAATAATCTACTCAGCAAGAAGTTTTCTAAAATCTATAAGTGAACTATCTAGTGAAAAGAGTAATAGAGGTAGAATAATTTGGAAAATAATTAAATCATAGGGATACAATTCCACAATATTTCTGTATGGTTAAACAGGCTCAGGAAAAACTTATACTATGGAAGGCTATGACTATGCCTTATTTGAATAAAAGACATTAAACGGAAAGCACTACTCAATGAGTCCAATCACTCAGCAGAAGCAAAATGTTGGGCTTGCTGTTCGAACCATCAGAGAATTTTTTAAGTAGAAGTAGAATATTAAGGATCATATTAGAGAAAACTTTTAGTTCAGTGTATCATTCTTCTAAATATACAACGAAAGAGTATACGATCTTCTAAATTTTAATGGAAGTAGTACAGCCACTGTACCTGGAGGAAGAAAATATCTTTCTTAGCAAAATGATTTGAAGGTTAGATGGAATAACAAGGACTAATTTGTTGTTGAGAATTTATACACTTATGAATGCCTGAATTCTAAAGAAGCAATAGCATTATACAACTAGGGAATAAAAAACAAGGTAGTTTCCTCTCATAAAATGAATCACGCTTCAAGTAGGTCTCATTGTATATTTAGCATCCAGGTTGATTAGTACTCAACTGACAAGAATCCTTAGATTATATCATCTTCAAAAATGTTTCTGGTAGATCTCGCTGGAAGTGAAAGAATTTCCTTCATTGGAGATATTGACAAGGAAACATAGAAGGAAACAATTCAAATAAATAAGTCCCTAATGACACTAAGAAAATGTATAGGGGCGTTATCTTCATAGACTATTGATGATTAAAAGCATGTTCCTTATCGAGAATGCAAGCTCACCTCTATTCTTAAGCAAAGTCTTGGAGGTAACTGCTATTGTCTCATGATTGCTTGTGTCTCTCCAAGTGACTATAACTATGAAGAGAATATCTAAACGTTAAATTATGCAATGAAAACGAATAACATCAAGAATTTACCAATCAAGAATAAGGATCTAGACATGTCAGCAATCGAGAAATTAAAGTAATACAATAAGAAACTAGAGTAAGAAATCAGTTAAACTAGAAATCTAATATAAGTAGCTCTATAATAAACAGATACCTCTTCAATAAGATAAACTTCAGATTCTTCAAAATAAGATTTACAATCAATCATTCAAGGAAGTGAGGGAAATGATTATCATTCTTCTCCTAATCTTATAAAGCCAAATAAAAATTTAGAAGTTTATAGACATCCTTGAAGATAATACGAGAGTAGTGAAAGGAAGCTCAACTATTAATCGTTTGTGGGTAAATATGCTCCAAAGTCTGAAACTTGATACAATAAAGCCTCAATTATGAATGAAATTGAATAAGCATTTGACAAAGGAGATTACCTATCACCAGATACGATCATAATTCTCTAATAACTGATAAAGCAAAATACTTAGCTGACTCATTTGAAATAGTCAAGGATGAATTTAGCAGATCAGGGTTAGAGAAATTCAGTAGAATAGAGAATTAAAGATCTGAATAGAGAAAATGTGCAGCTTTAAGAATAGCTTAGACAAAGTTTCAACCAAATTAGATAACCTCCATAGCAGTGAAAAAATAATTAAAACTACTACTTAAATGACAGTAATGACTATAAGATGCTTAATCAGATAAGTTAGCAGTATTAAACAAACAGATAAATGGATTAGAATTATTAATCAGAGTTACCTAGGCTAAATAATTCAACTGCCGATAAGCTTGATTAAAGTTTCAATAGAAATTCTAGCATAGATAGCATACGTAAATCTTGAAATCAGAGATAGTACTTTGACAAGAGCGACATGCAAAATTACAACAGATAATACTAATTAAAAACTGTAGACTAAAATCAATAGATAACCAGGAATCAATAGTATCCACTTTATTAACACCCATAGGCTACTTAGGACTTCCCAGATTAGTTTTACTCTGCAAATAATGGGAATTTCAATGAATACAAAGATATAGAAAAGAAAATATTTGACAACAGATAGAAGATAGTTGAACTCAAAAAGGTATTGATTCCATTTGGAAGTACCTCTAATCCCATAAACAGCAATTTTGAAAACTCAATTATCGCTAGCAGTCCTGAGTATTAATCTAATGCAAATAGTGCTAGTATAAAATCAAATAACAACTATGAAAACTTTTCATTGATGAACAGGAATATTCCCCGCATAAATGACTCCAGAGACTTCATTAGACATCATGATGAGTACACAATCCCTAGTTCAAGTATCAATAAGACCTTTGATAATAAATCGATGCTACATCAATAACTCAATAGGTCTCCTCCTAAAAACATCATTGTAAATAAACTCCCTAACGGAGCATCTAGCTTATTATTCAAGAATATTGATTTGAATCTAAAGGAATCTGAGACTTAGTCGAATAAGGATGCGAGAATAGAGTAAAACATGAAATTTATCATCAATAATCCAAGGTAGAATCGAGATAACTTTGACTAAAGGAGCAGAACTCCTAATCAAGGGTAAATTATGCAATATAAAGAAAAATAAATGCAGGGATAAGTATAAGAAGGAACTTAAAAATATTAATAAAACGATGGAAGCAAGAGCTCAAAGATGCTATAAAATCCCAAAGTAAATGACTTGTAGCTTAAGATCAAGAAAAGAATTATTGATGAGGATTTCGCAACTAGATGAACATATAGCTGTAAATATTTGGCTTATAATCTGAAATATTTTAATACAAATCATAATCAAATTATATTTACTTTTTTACTAAAAAATTAAATTTTAAAATAGACGGGGTTTTGGGGTTTTGGGGTTTTGGGG